GTTTAATGATCTGCAGTCAGGGTAGAATAAGAGGTGCTTACATTCAGATTATACATCTCAGTGGGATCTTCCAGGTTAGATAAAAGGTAAATAAATAAATAAATAAATAAACAGATTTGATTAGTAAATGTTTTATCAGATGTCACTTGTTTCTACTTTTATTCAAACTCTTTGCATCTTTTTGTTTATAGAATGAAGCAGCGCCCTCAAGAGGCAGCAACGACTCACTGCTGTTTTTGTTTCTGCATCAACTCCAGTTATTGTTTCTAAAGTCGTATTTTTCTGTCTCTGCAGGTTTTTAATCGTTTTGGGATGTTTGATTCTGGCGGTTCTGACCACATTCAAGGAGTACGAGAAAGATTCTGCTCACTGGCTGCTGGTTCTGGTTAGACTTTATTAGTTTACATCTTCAGTCAAAGATCTGTGGATAAATGAGTTTTAAACATTCAGTTTTAAGAATAACATTAGTGTTGAACTGATGTGAGATGATTATATTTCTTTSGACAGGAAACCTTCGCCATCTTTATCTTCGGAGCGGAGTTTGCTCTGAGGATCTGGGCGGCGGGCTGCTGCTGTCGCTACAAAGGATGGAGGGGGAGGCTGAAGTTCGCTCGCAAGCCTTTGTGTATTTTAGGTAAAGTGGTGAAATCATAAAACAGAAAACACAGAGCATTAACGGTTAAAGCTGCGTTGTTTCAGTCAGAAGTTCAATTGATTGAATCCTTTTCAAAATAAAAGGAGTCCAGCTCTGACTTCACAGCAGAACCACAGTTTTCACAGAAGGTGAATGAGTTGATGTTTAATTTATTATTTTTAATTTAGATTTATTTTTTTACCACAGAAGTTTGAACCCTCCTTCATCTCTCTGTTGTAGGACTGATGGTTTTCTCTCAGGGTCAAAGGTCACACATCCAAACTCCTACTTCTCATAATTAACTCCATAAAACAGGAAGTTCTGGTGTTTTTAAATGATTTCTCTGACATAAAACCATTGTGAGGACATAMAAGCTGACCCGCTGGACCATCAGAACCTTCTTCTGCTCACGGGTCGAGACTTTGTTCAGAGCAGCTGGTGGTTTTCGCACGACCATTTATTTAAAAATTATTGCTGCAGTTTGTTGCCCCTCCCCCTTTTTTGCTCCGCCCATGATACACTTTAACTTTAAGGTGTAATAACCACGTSTTCTGGTTCTGCGGAACTGCTGCTGCTCAGTGAAGAGAGAAACTCTGACACAGGCTGGTTGAACAGCAGGAATCTTTATTTTGCAGTCCAGGAGATTACAGCCAAAAACCAAATTATGGCCTCCAAACCAAATGATTCACCAAGTAAGAAAGATGAAGAACGAAGGCCAAGAGTGGGGGCGTACAAGCCTCTTTATAGGTTGCACAGTGTAGTTCAACAGAGGCATCATAAATTTTGTCACGGTATACCTTAAACATTCCTCTTCCTAATATGGTAATATGTGCCGAGCTCTGAAGCTGGAAAACCAAGAGACGTAACACATCTGTGCATTCCTGAGAAGAGGCCCCCCACTCTTGGACACTACAACTTCTTGATATTTTCCTCCCATAGATTTGTATGATTTCAGATTTCATTTCCAACTAAATATTTTATGTTGAAAATATTTAAGAAGGACAGAAATCCTTATTTCAAGTCGTTAAAAAACAAAAAAGAACGAGTTTTACCTTGAAGTTTCAAGATAAACTCTTAGATAAATTTCAAAATAAGAGCTCGTCTCTGTCATAGCTCAGGGTTGTTAAAAAGTAAAGCTCCAAATCCTTCAAGTCGTCATCAGAAATGTAGTTTGATGTTGGAGAACAGCGTTGACAACAAAGGGATTTTCTGTTAAAAACATATCCCAGATCAGAACCGGAACCAGAACCAGAGCAGAATCCTGCCTGAACCTGGTTAAATCCATCCTGTTAAAATCTCATCTCAGCACAAACTGGTACCAGAACAGTTTCCAGTAATGAAGCTCTGCCCGTCAGTTTCTGTGACAAGCCCGACGTCCACAAACCGCCGCAGGCGCCAAATGTCCTCATTTTGTCCAGGTTTAGAACCGCCTCGGCTTTTAAAGTCCCGCAGAAGATCTGGACCAGGTCTGAGCGGTCTGTCAGAACCAGGAGCCTCGGGTCATCATTAGTGTTTCCTCTGCTGACTGACACGCAGAAACTAAAACGCACATTTTGCAAGTGTTGAGTTTTCATTTTTAGGAGCTGCTGTCAAAACTGTTATAAAAAATAAGTTTTCAGGCAACTTGGGATGAAATAATTTGATTTAAGCTGAGCTGTTTGAACATTATTCTTCAATTAACGTCTCAATATTTAGCTCATTTGTAACTATAAATAAACAAAAGATGACGAGTTTGGTCCATTTAATCTTTTTATCTCTCAGCCCAAAATATTTCCTACATATTTGTCTACAACTTTCAGCAACTAAAGAATGAAGAATATTTTATACAGTTTAATTTTTGACCAGCTGCCTGAATGCTGCTGTTTTGACTATAAAAGGCGGGAATCATCATGGTGACTCAGCAAAATGAGCCACAGTGATCTTAATTATTTTTTTACGTTGACTCAGCATGGCTGCCCTAGTATTCAAGAAATTTTGTCATATTTAGATTTTTTTGATAGAGAATTGAAATAAAAGATGTTGTGGAGATTATTTTCTGTTCCTTTTCCCCCGCTCACCAAAAAGGGCGGGAATCACCACGACAATCAGTGACTCAGCAGATTCTGTGTAGCTGGCTTTTCATRTCTTCGACCCATAAATCCTGGATTATTTCATTTTAATCTCTAGTTAGACATTTTATGTTCAAGAAAAATAAAGTAAGATCGGCAAAATTGAGAATTTAGTCATAAAAACAAATATGGTGTTTCAAAGTAAAATTTGTAAATTCATAATAAAC